TATTTTCGATTTCATTACTGTATTATCAGAGCGCGTTAATGTAATTGATACATATATATGTACGTACACTTACGTTTATATGCCCATATTCAGTATACTCAGGGTTAGGTAAGCCGAACGTCACCGGCTCTTTTATAGTGCATCGATCCGATTTCGAATTACCTACATTCGTGACAAGATTGGTACTTTGCTTTTTCAATAAAGTATCCAGTAAATCGCCGTCAAGAGATTTATACACGTATATACCCTCTAACGCGATTATTCACGATATCCCGTGGAATAGAAGCGAATTGAAACGAAGAACGGAGACAACATAATCGATATACGAGACGATACGCATAATATGAACTGCTGATTCAATCATAAGCACGAATTATTGTACTTATAGCTTTCTCTGTCCGACAACCGACAATCTTGTGAAACGTTGCTTCGTACTCGTAAGTTTAAGAATCCACCCGTAATAAATCCTCGATTATTATTTCGCACTGTTGAAATGTTCCCACGTGTAAAGAAAAATACATTTATTGTAATAAATCCTCGATTATTATTTCGCACTGTTGAAATGTTCCCACGTGTAAAGAAAAATACATTTATTGTAAAGAGACAAACGAGGATTACCCCACGTCGAAATGAGAAGGCAAACCAATCGTGCAATAACAGAATAGGACAGCTATTCCGACGATAAGGTACTGTAAATGATTAAACAGTAAAAGTGAAATGCTCCACTTACTTTCACTCTATTGGCATATACATAGCCAGAGACAATGTCAATATCGTAAAGGAAACAACAGCTGTGTCTGATACACTTTGTTAGACCAAGCACTTTATGGCTTTAATCTGTTGTACGTTGATAGTCTTCGCTTTAGATTATATCCAACATCCATTTACTCCGTTTTCGTGTTCGTTGGCTCGTAATTTTTTTCGTTTGCAATAGCTTACCAAACGATACGTTTATCGGACATAATATGAAACACGTTTCATGAGTAATACCATCAGTAGCTCCGTTCATACAAATGAACATCCTTGCATGCATCCAAACGAGATCGATAAATATCCGATGAACATTCTCGAACGCAGTATTGGGCAGAATTTTTTTCGAATAATACACAGTGAAAAGTAGCAGTATCTAATGTTGTCGTTCTGAGCTTTAAACAGTTAATGAGATTAAATAATTGTTCGACGAATGCCGATTCATTCATAAAGAAGTATTATTTTATTATAAAAATTGAAATTTCCACGTTTAAACTATACAAAATGACGAAATACTTTTTTTTTATCTTTTATTCGTTGTTCGAAACTTTTTATCTAGATAATGAGTTTCCCCATCTCTGCTCGAAGGAAATATTTGTAATCGTCAAAGAATTTCATCGTGTTTGTGTGCCTAATAGATTGCATAGCTGATACTTGTGTTCGAGCAAGTTTGGAAGGAAACAAGAGTGAGAAATCGCGTGGCGTTAGCACTCTCGATAGGCGGAGTCGAGTTAACGGTCGATACGAAACACCCCTCGATAGAACGACACCCATCCTCGCATACTCGAGTCGAGTCGAATCGAGTCTCTCCGTGGAGTCATCGACGTCGATTCATCTTCGACTGGTCCTTTACCAGCATCCATTTCCTTTCGTTCTTTCTCTTCCTTTAATTCCTCTCCTAATTCTTCTCATTTATGTCTCTTTACGGGTGAAAGTTAACATTACGATCCGAAAATATCATTGTTGCCCGTTCAAACATCCGACTTCGCTGCCCCAAACAACTGAAAGGGGCAACTCGATTTCTTTCGAATCTTCGACGTTTATTCGTCGACGCAAAGAAGAAGAAGAGAAAGGATAACAAACGAAAACATTAGACGATGTCGGTTGCGAGTTCGGCATGGACGAAGAGCGAGCGAAGAGCAACACTGTCAACGAATCGATATCCGGATAGGCGTGGTCTTGTCGATCTCTTCGTGGATGCTATTACCAACGTGAAATCTCTGGATGCCAGTATATATTTGTACCCCAAAGATTTAGTCTGTTTAGAAATATATTCGGACAGATTTTTTCAGCGACCTAATCCGAACAGTTTCACGATCGAGTAACGCGGGGTCTCGAACGTGAAACTCAATGTAATCTTGATCGCGTGTCATCTTTATCTCGTGAAATCTTGCCCTCAAACTCGACTACGATCGGTGACCATCGCTGTAACATAGAAGACCGTTTGATGTTACGAGGTTTCGCCCTCCCCTTTTGTTCACGTTTGCCTTGTGCAAACTGTGCCCTTTTACTTTCCGCCTCTAGACCACCAAACCATCGCTTTTACTCGTTCGTTGCGACCTCGTGTCATCATGACCCTTGTGTTTCTTCTCTTTTTGTCTTGGGTTTCGGTGTTTGCCCCATACCCGACACTTTGTTTCCCTACTTCTTATTGGCCCTAAAGGAATTGCGGGAATACGATCTTGGTTCTATGTATTTTCTATTTCTAAACTGGAGCGGAATGGTCGAAAAAGAATCCCAAGTTGCGTAGTAGCGACATGAACTAGGGGAGAAAGAGACGAAAAAAGAAAAATAAGAACTGCTTGTGAAAAAAAATCTGGTCACGTTTCGATGCTAGTGGACCGTTCGCGGAGTATCCTTTAAACGTCAGTGGGCCAACGGAAGGGAAGTGTAGAGCTGCGCCCGCGACCGAGGAGATCTGCAAAGGGTGGGGAACAGAAAGTGAGGAGCAGAGTATTCGCAGCATGTGGTCTCGTCAACCTCCCTTCTCGATTCTTTTTCATTCGTTTCTCCACTCTTGTTGTTTCGTTTCTATCTACTGTCTATCGCCATGCACCAATTTTGTAATCTTGTTTTTGTTGCTCGAATAGTATTTTCCCCTGCGTTTACACTAAGCGTCTAATGCACCCATACTACACCCTTTGTAAGTATTAACTGCTCTATACAAACGTTCTGAAATATATTCAACGTCCTCCATTTCAGAACATCCTCCGATGAACCCGTAAAACTGTTGTTCTAATAGTGTTGCTTGTGTCGCACTCAAACAATAGGGGAAGAATAAAAAGTAAAGGTAATCGAGCGTAAAATGGATCGGGAAATTGTATACATAAAGTAGCGAAAGAAACACCGGAATGGTGCGTTAGTTTGATGTCTGTATAAAAAAGATAAACGGGAAAAGGGATCGGTTTAGTCGTAGTGTTTGATGTTCGTCGATAAGATGCATCGATAAATTGATCTATGCAGTTACGATACCCATAGGAAGTTAAGCAAAATAGCATTGAAAAAATTGTACAGTAGGCACCGAGTATTGTGGTTACGTTACTGATCGACCACCCTCTAGCGGTAGACTTCGACGAGTTGCTAGGATACACCCTTGGCTCCAACTCCCACAGTTAGACTGTCAGTGCTCGTCCAGCTACTTTACTTTACGTTTCTAAAGACTACATCTATGGACTTGTTGTTGAACGAAATTCGTAGTGTTCATAGTACCTTGCTATTACGCGCCAACTGCGTATCGAAGTCGTACAAGAGATTCCACGACCCAGAAGCTGTCTCTCGTACCGGTTCGAATAATAAATCGCATTTCATTATAAACGTTTAAACGGCACGAAACTCCTACCGTTTCCCTCCTGTTCCTCAAATTCCACATAGAATCTCTCTCTTCGTTCTGTTATTCGTGTAAATTTGATAATACGATTTTTCATTCCCTCAATAGGCCTTTCATCGGTTCTAATGTCATCGATACTTTATTTTCCAAGAATCGGTAGAAACCATCGGAAGTTTGTGAAACACTCGAAGAATTCGTAAGGTGTTCCCAAAACTGTTTCAAGGGACTGGAGGCTACAAGGCAGGCTCAACGGAATTTAGGTGGCCGATGGGAATCCAGGATTTATAGGGAGGGTGTGGAAGAAAGGCCAAAAGTTCTTTCTCGGATCATCCTGGGAACCCCTTCCGGATCAGAAGGCTCGACAAAGCATGACAAATTACGACTTTACGGCTCTCATTATAATCCTCGAGTACAAATAAAGAGTACCCCTATTCTGTAAGCGACATTTAATCTTAAATAATATTATGATGTTGTTTTTACTACCCTTAAAGAATGAAATGGCCATACATTTGATAAATACCGCTCAGGATGTTATAATTATTTTACTGGTTATGACTTGGTAATGCGTTTGTAATAGTAATCAACAATAGGTTTGTTTTTACGGCATTTTTATAAACGATTTCTCGTTACATTATTCTTTGAGATATATATCATAAACCAAACAATACGTTATTATCGTAGACGAAGGAATATAGAAATACGGGCTGGTTATTTCTTTTTGCTACACCATGTTTGTTTGCTGCCATGCCTCGAGTGTTATGTTTTATGTGGGACTAAGTGGACATACAATAACCTAATTACGTCTTCACGTGCTTTATTTATTACTAATACTAGCGCCATTCATCGAAACAAATTGAAAGATAAAGACGAATCTTACCGTTTTTTTCCAAAGACCGGAAATTGCTTCGGATTTTTCAGTAGTGACATCTTCCGAGTTTAACGTGAACTTCCCTCCACAATATGTACCGGTTTACTCGGCAACCGGTACTAACCTTCGACACAACACAAGAATCACATATCACGCACGAAAAACAATCGTTTCGTAGTTGTACTGTTTGAAGATTACGAGGGCTTAATGAAAAATCACTAAAATCCGAGGATCGTGCACGTTTCCCACGAAACTGATCGTAAATACACGCACAAAATGGCAACTCACAAACCTATCGTCTCTGTGCGTTTACAGAACTGCCGTAAACACTGCGTAGTCAAATTAATACCTTCGTACTTTGAAACTGTTTTGACTTCACGAATCTTTTAGAAAACAGCTTAATCACTGAAGCAATGTACACTAATTCTAAAACAAAATTTATCGCTCAAAATAAACACTACATATTAGAAACTTAAATTATTATAGTATCACGGATCGAAATTGACTAGAGTGATTGAAATCCGGTAATCACAGGTTGAAGCGCCACCAGTGTCATGGCCTTTTCCTGTTCACGCGTACTCCTACGAAGACGTGAACGTAAGTTGTATGGTAAGAAATTCAGAGGTTCGATGAGTTTTCCTAACGGTTGTGCAAGAAAAAGTAATATTATCACGGTAGAAACGTATAAAGATTGCCAGTGACAATGAACGTACTGTGTATGTTCCAAAATTTCGGAATCGAAAGTGTTACAAATATCGTACATGTGACCGCACGGCCACATGTGTTCATCGTTTTCGTAGATTTTGTATCAACAAAACTTGGATAAAGTGTTTTATGGATTAAATTTTTGCTTAAGAGCAAATTATATTTTATGTGTGGGCTACTTTTATGACAATTCTACGATAATCCTATTATTTGATAATAGTTTGTGTTTCGATTATGCATAAAATATACTTGCGTTTTTTCACGAGTGTATTGCTTTCATTGACATCTGACACGAAGAAACTTTACTCGACATTTGGAAAATTCATCTGACACTATGTATTCTTCTTGATCAAAGAAACCTAGCATTGCTTAATCTTTCCATTTATATATTACAGATACACCATGGCTGACATGGAAACGTTTGACGATGTAGTGGTACCCACTACAACACCCTTACAAGTGACACTTTCCGCTGAATTACCAGAAATCAAGTTATTTGGACGTTGGAATTGCGATGATGTACAGGTGAATGACATGTCTCTACAAGATTACATCGCTGTTAAAGAAAAGAATGCAAAATATCTGCCACATTCTGCCGGACGTTATGCCGCAAAACGATTTAGAAAAGCTCAGTGTCCCATAGTGGAACGTCTTACAAATTCGTTAATGATGCACGGTAGAAACAATGGCAAAAAGTTGATGGCAGTCAGAATTGTGAAACACGCCTTTGAAATCATTCACCTCCTTACAGGTGATAATCCTCTGCAGGTAAGTAATACTATTGTTACTATTGCCTATGGAAATGTTGATACATGCATATATTAATTTGTATGCATTTGATTAGGTTCTTGTGACAGCCATTATTAACTCTGGTCCAAGGGAAGATTCAACGCGTATTGGACGTGCTGGTACAGTCAGAAGACAGGCAGTAGATGTGTCTCCATTAAGACGCGTCAATCAAGCAATCTGGTTATTGTGTACTGGTGCTAGGGAGGCTGCATTCCGTAACATTAAAACAATTGCGGAATGCTTAGCCGATGAACTTATTAACGCTGCCAAAGGTTCGTCTAATTCTTACGCGATTAAAAAGAAGGACGAACTCGAACGCGTCGCCAAGTCTAACCGATAAACACTTTTTTTTCGTAAAAACATACAAATAAATGTTCTACCTTTAAAAGGTTTTGTTTATTATGATCCAGCCCTTTTACTAAAGATTGTTAATGCAATGTACGTTATCCATAAAGATCATTTATTGATGTATATCATTTGCAACATTTCAGGATTAAGTCATCAAGTGCGCTTCGTTTAGCTTTTAGAACAAACGAAGATATAATGCGACTAACGAAGTTAATAATTTTTGTCTTTATGTTACTAACATCATGAAAGTGTTAAAAAGTCAGTAATAATTATCGTTTAATTGAGCAAAGAGTATGGTGGCATCATCTCGTGACAAGAATCTAGTACTAGTTAGTTAGTAATTTAAGCATTGTATCATAGATGGTACTGTACATATTGTTGACTACATTTATTATATTATGTACTATAGAACTAAATATTAATTAAAAACACCAGACTTTATGTTCTGTAATATATAATATCTTCTCAAGAGACACAACAGGGAGTATCAATACATGTATTTTTCGTTATATGTGTATGTATAAACAGTCGCAATGCATTTATAGTGCAGTGACTATTATTCCAGAAGCAGATACTGAGTATCTGGTCATATTAACATGTTAGTCTATGGTAGAGCCACGATACAGTGGTACCACTACACATGCATATGGTTCATAGGGTTAAGTGTATTTGTTTGAGGGCCGATCGCATAATCAGTTTTCTTCCGATTAGATTGTGTTAGCAATCATGTCAGGCGCATTAAAGAAGGTAATACGTCTCTAAACATCAATGAGAATGAACGCCTGGATTGGCGATTCTTTACTCACTTTGTTAAAGAATCTTCCGAAACATAACCGTTTCAATAGTGGTGTAATGTTTTGATTTTTACACAGCTTGCATTCTAACATTTTTCTGTTTTAGACGACAGGATTAACGGGTCTTGATGTATGCAAAAATCCTCATCAACAACTAACTATACTCTACGCAAAAATTTTACGCATTTTAGGCTCTCTTCCAGCAGAATTTGCATATAGAAAACACACTGAAAAACTCATCAAAGAAAGAAGCAGTATCGTAGAGCAGGTAATGATTGAACATTTTTCTGTTTACCTGTGCCTAGCGCAATGTGATACAATGCTGTTAATTTTACAGAACCCTGATGTGGCTGCCGTAGAGGAAAAGATAGGTTGCGGACAGATCGAAGAAATTATAATGCAAGCCAAGAATGAGTGTACTTTAGCAACATCTATGGTAAAATGGAAACCTTGGGAAAATTTGGTAGAGGAAGCTCCTAAGTATCAGTGGACATGGCCACCTCACAAATAACTCAAAATTTGATGGCCAGGGTTTCTATATAGCGCTGAAACAGTAGATTCCTATATCGCTTATAAGATACATTAAATTAAAATAAGTGTTATAGCAACTACCTGGTTTCTTTATTTGTATGAGCACGAGTGCCTCTTTGAGGAATAAATATATACTCTAGTAGATTCAGTGTTTCTTCTGGAAGTGTAATTGTTGTTTGTAAAGATCCAAAAATGGTTCATGTAAAATGTAAAACGTACAGCATAGTAAAAAAAAATGAAACGAATGTCTGAGAAAAGTGAGTCAACGCGCGAGACGAGAGTATGTCTCGATCGAACGAGAAACGATTCTCAAGTAGAAGCTCGGGCATCAAAAGGAATGCAGGGAGGAAAAAGTTCCGGCGAGAAGTAGAGGAAAAGAGAGGGGCAGTGAAAATAAGAGACGATGCGATGCGTTTCGCGGTAGTGGGGAATAGGGCAAGATAGGTAGGAGTAGGCTGGTAGGTAGGTAAGTGAAGTTAGAGCAAAGGTAGGAGAATGGTTTTAGCTGTGGATTGGGGATTTACGGGTGGGGATTCGAGGGTCGCCGGTCAGTCCTGATTTCGCGTCGCGTTCGAGGATAGCGAACGCGCGAATCGCACTCCTCTTTGAGACGTCGAGCATTCGATACGTTGTTCCGTTTGACGTCTCCGATTTTTATTTTCTTTCTTTCCCTTTTTCTTTTCTTCCCTGCTTCTCAATTTTCTACCGTTTTCATTTCCCTGTTTCTTGATTAACTTCTATACTGCTTTCTATCTCCACGACCTCTGTGTTTTGACGGCGAAAAGGACGGGAAACAGCGAGCTGTTCGCGTATTCGAACATAAGACCGAAAGTTCGGAAGTTATTAAGTACAGTAAGTCGTAAGAGGCCAAAGTGTTAGAATGTCCCGCGTATTGGAGAAATCGTTTCGGTGAGTGCGAGCACGCGTGTGCCAAAGTGTACGGAAAAGGAACGTCGTCACTGGTGGATAACTTGCAACGGTGGACACTCGATCTCTGGCTTATCCTTTACGTTCGTTTGTCACTCCGATCGAGACAAGCGTTCGATTTTTCTCGCAGGCGACATCAATGAAACTTCGATCGACCAATCGATCGATCGTTCACGTCGAATGAGGCGGCAAAATGGGAAGACGAGTGGAACAACGAATCAGTGGAATCAACAATCGGTGTGTACCATGTTTGTTATTCTGACAATCAGATGCGTTTCCGTTACGGATTATAAACATTCCTCGTTGTTGTATTTGAAACATACGTCTATGATTTGAAATCGATCGTCCATAAAGTTTGCTTCCGTCGATGAGGTTAGTCACCAAATCAGTTGCGATTCATCGACTACGCTGTTTTCTGTGCTCGGCGCACAGATGTTAAATTTTCTTTTCGTACGAAAATTATGTGTTCCTTCGGGTCAGGGTTTATTTCGCGGTTCCCAAGCAGACGACGGTGAGACGACTGTAGTGTGTCCCGGAAACAGTAGCGAGAACGGTCGTAGATTTCGCGGTGGGAAACAATGCTCGCGGAAGAAAACGCGTTCTCGTCTCTAGGAAGACAATGCGCGTAATTTCGTTGAGCGCGACGAAACGAAAGCGGCTGAGACATTACGGACGTCCGGTTAAACTGGACGCTCTTAACCATCGGCGAAAAAAACATACGTCGCCTACACTTGATTCTCAGCCAGGATTCTCTAGTTTCCGTTCGTACGCGATTGTAGTACACGCCTCATGGAAAGCTGTTCGATTTTCAACGACAGTTCACAGGCCTGGATTAAAATGTCTTGTGGCCTAGGCCCACGGGTTTTCAAAAATTGAAATTTATTCTATGTAAACTTGAATATCATTTAACGCTTGATCTGAATTTTTTCTATATTTAATACAATTTTTAATTATTTCAAAGGGGAAACAGTAAACAAAATTTCATTCAATTATTTTTTGTCAGATCGGGCCCCTCTTGAAAGTGGGGCCCGGGGCTACAACACCCCTAGCCCCCCTCCCTTAATCCGGCGTTGACAGTTTGAAATACACGACTAACGTTCGTGACGCTATAGTCCATATTTGTTTTCTATCACGGTGTATCGTAATTTTCTGTGGTTTTAAGCACAACGGAAAACACATAGCATCGGAAAAACAGAGGAAAATAGGGAACGACGAGTAAAGCGAAATCGGAAGAACGTTAACGCGGCGTGACGTTGACCCGTTATGCGGTGCGCGTTCGACGTTCCAGCTGCCAACGAGACTGCGTGCGCGAGTTTTGTTTACAATAGATCTTGGCAGGACTAGCGTTCCGTGTCGTTCAGCGGTGACGGATGTCGGGTCAGTAGCTGCGTGTCAGACATCCCAATACGAACGGTTCTCTACTTTCCGGCAATGCGAGGCCCATAAAAAACCTCTTTCCTGGCAAACCAATGGTAACGTTACATTCGACAAAGCCTTAATAAGAGATAGATCAGAAGGCGAGGAACTTTTCGCAAGGCCGACATTATTATTCCAATGTGTTGCGTTACGTTGCCATTGCGTAACACGCGTATATTTTTGTTACGAAACGGCGATTTCATCGTTTCAGCGTTATCCCGCCAGCGACGTTTTCGAATAAATCGAATTCAGAATCACGTTATGGGTTCCTCTCGATAACGTAACATTTGATGTGTTTGAACAGGTTTTGTCAGAGACGGTGGAAGGGGGGCGGGGCTTCGAGGAGAAAATTCCGAGACTGCCTCAGTGCAATGATCCGTGGTTTTCTTTTTTTCTTACTGGGTCGAAGCTTCGGTTGTTGATACGAATTCGACCGATTTTATCCCGTTAACGAGACCGTCACGCCCGGATAAACGAACGAATACGAAAACAGGACTCGACGCGGAAAGAAAACGCGTAGTATATGGTATACCCTTGGAACGTCGTGATTCTTGCGGGCTCAATGGTGCGCGCCACGAGCTTTCGCCTCGTAGCTTGGCTTCTTATTAACGAGAACGTATCTCACGCATCGCGAGTGCCGTCTTTCTCTCGGTTTCGTTGAGAACGCGCTCGTCCTCTCGGTCGGCGAACCATCGCGATGGATTCACTGTGTTTCTTAAGCTGGCGATTCCTTTCGTTTCGTTCGGCTACCTTTCAGACAGACCCGTAAATGCGACGGATCGGCCGCTCCCGTTAAGTTCCGGTTTCCACTCATCCACAGTGTTTCCACGGCTATCCTTCCGTTCGAGAATCTTCCGAAGCACGAACGTTTCTCCTTTTTCTTTCTTTTTTTTTCGTTCGCATCTCGTTTCGGAGCACGGTGGAAGAGAAAGTTCCGCGTCGACGATCCGCTCGTCGAATTTTCAAGGAGAATACGCTGCTTCCTCAGAGCACAGACTAGATATAGGAATAGACATTTCATCCAATGTATTTTTGCGGCCCACTTTTCTGAGGTTACGTTGCCCCATTTCCATTTTAGTGTCACTACCCGCCGTAGATTTACCGTTCTCATACGTAGAGGTCACTAAAATCACAGGCTTTTTAAGGTGTCGGTACTGCAGTTTAGGCGGGCCATCAACTCCCATAAAATGAAAGGTCTATTCTTATACTTCGTCGGTGTTCAGAGGTATGAGCGCGCAGAGTGTATATTGCAGTGGCTAGGCGATTGTGCCGTTCGAGTCTTCGTTCGAATTTCAAGCCCGCTCGTTTTGCGTCGTCGTTCATCGTTCGCGCGAACAACTTTCACTTTTCGTCGGTTCGTATCGGTTTTTTCGTCACCGTCGAGGATGTTTCGTCGGGTTACGGGCTGTGGCGATCCGCGCAACGGTTGCCTATCGCTCACACGTTCTTCGCGTCGAGTTCCAACGTTCGAAATTTCGAGAATTAGGAAAGAGGGAACGGTTGAAACGATCGATTCTACGTCGATACCAATGCCGGATAGAACGCGTACACACCAAGGTGATGACAGTCGTGACGCAGTTGCCCGAGAAAACATGCAGGGTGGGTGCACCAGTAAATGAACACGTGCCAGTGAATGAACATTATGTACGAAATCGAGTAAATTACGTTATTAAAATAACCAAATAAATAAATATGGATTATTCAATTCTTTGGTTCATATTCAAACAATTCTCACGGTATTGGTTAGAAATGTTCATTTCCTGAGTAATATTGTTCATTCACTAGTGAAGTCTGTATTTTTACTTCTTAATTTCATAGTTACAAAATCTGTTGAGTGTTCATTCCACAAACTTCTATGTATGTACATATACTAGACTGCTAACTTCTGCTATTGGCAGAAGCAATCTGTACATATCGGTACTGAACGTATGACGCCTTGAAGACGGCTTAAACAAAATATGTATTTAACGATTGAACTTCACGCGGTTACACATCAAATCAAGAGGTTGGTTTGGCAAGTCAAAATTGACAGGTTTGATTGGCGTGCACGCCCGGAGTGTACCTAAGCCCTCTATTTAGAAGTTGATTCGTTGGTGCGTTTACCCAATCGAGATATAGGAAAATTTCGCGGCCGCTCGACGGCTATCTTCATAAACCGAAACTTCCGTGCTTCCATTTTCGTGTCGTTGCTTTCCACTCGTGCGTCCTCCTGCAGCTCTCTCTCTCCCCCCCCCTCTCTCTCTCTCTCTCTCTCTCTCTCTCTCTCCCAGCATCTCCTTGCACTCCGTGGATCACCCCTTTCCCCATAATACGCCCGCGTTCGCGCTCTACCACTACCGCCTCCCAGATCCTTTCCGTTCCCTCCACCTTTCGCTCAATCATTGCCCTCGGTTCGCCATGCCTCGCCTCGCCTCGCCTTGTCTTGCCTCGGCTCGACTCGCGCAGCTTTCCTTCCGCATACCGAAATTCCTGAGAAACTGCACTCGCCGATTTCTAACGACGACGACGACTCGGATCGCGATGCGAATCGCCGATTACGCAAACTTTTTGCGCTCTCAGGAGTCCGTGCGCGTCTTTTATTTGGCGATCGTTCGAACACCAATCATACATACATCCTCGTTCCCGTTTCCTTCCGATCGATTTTGCTCGTCGACAAAAGTTCTACGATCGAGAGCTAGGATGAGGCGCATGCGCGCAAGGTGCGAGAGGAATGGGTGCGCCACGGTGCACTTGCGCGACTGTGCCTGACCCAGATGCCTCGC